CCGAAAAGATCAAATTGACAAGGTTTAAAACGGGCGATAGACTGGAATTTGACGACGCCCGATGATTTTTGATTAGTCGGTTTCTCCCCCTACTTTAAAGACCAGGGTGATATTTGCTTAAGCCAATGCTCAGTTGCAAGCCGTTGGGCTGTAGTTAATTGCAGTCCTTCATTTATCAGTAGTCGGCAGTTGTTTATAACAACTGGGTTTACTTCCAGTACTTGGGATTGATGAGGGTTCACAAAGCTATGTTTTTTCGAGGGTTCATCAAAAAAGTTCCACTTATTCGCAGCAAGATTTTGGTAAAACAATTGTAGCTTTTGAGACAGTCAATTCCTAAAGAGTCGAGTTATTTTGGCCATCAGGCAACACAAGGCGCGGAACTTTGCACGCTCTGCCTTCGAGAAGAATGATTTGTGCGGTGCGACCCGTCTTCCGTACCTTTTTTCAGATCCCAACCATCAGCGAAAGACACCTGCTAGTGTTTGTCTTTTCAAATACTGAAATCTTGTTTTTGCCCAGCATCTGACTAGAGGGATTTTCCCTTGCAAGTTGGGGACTAGCACCAGTGTCGGCGAAAGCTGTCCCGCGAAAAACACCACCAATACTAATTGGAAATACCAGCAGTCCGAGTGACGATAAAAGGATCGGATTGATTTGGATAGTGCCAAAATTTGATGAATTTGAATGAATTTGAGTCTTTGGGGGGTTACCAGTCTGCACATTTAGATGATAAACCAGTTTTTCCGCCCCCACCCCAGAGGCATGCGTAAAGGATGGTCGAGGTTGGTCGATTTCCTTGTTTGATTGTGACATACGATTTTTTAAAAAGGTTTATGAGTTCCTGTATGTCACTTGTTCGATTTTCTACTTTGGTTTGGATGGATTAGTCTGTTGCTAAGAATAGTTCCGCCTGCCCAGGAAGTTAGTTTTATAGTTCGTATTTTAACACGTCAGCTTCATAACATCCAATTCGTACTAATTCATGATGAACTCTTTATTTTTCCCAAGTATCAATAAATGCTCCTTCTTAACGTCACTACTGCTATCTTCTTTTACGCTGATCCGTCCGGACCAGTCTTGCGTGATTCCAAGCTGATAACTCGAGATTATGAGAGCCCACTGTTCGAGATCATTGTTTCCTCGTAAGTACCCTCTTTCCAACACGACCCAGGGTGTTTTTGGTGTTGTAGTAAGTTTTAATTCGAAATGATTCAGCATTAATTTGAATCTTTGTAGCAGAATATTCGGGATGTAAGAATAATTTTCTAATTTGATCGTTTGGGTTCTCTTAAAATAATTTGCCGCAACGACGAAAGTCTATAGGCAGAAGACCGGTAGGAGATGAGTGATTGTAATCTATTGATTTTATATTAACGTTCTCACATTGTCTTTCAAACATTTGCAGGTGGTTGCAAGGTCAGAAGGTCACGTAAGTAGGGGATTAGGTGGTGAATATTTGCTAACCAATAGCTGCCATTTGAGTCAAAAGGCGGCCCATGTAGGGTTTGATGCTAGCAGCTGCCAGGTTTAATTTAAACGTGCTTCCAATCTAATAAACGTCTTGTTCTGTTCTTTGACGTGTCATCCAGCCAGATCGTTGCTTTCACGTTGTTTATGTTGTCTAGTTTCGATTACGTTTCCCGAAGATGCCTGGGTAAACCGCTCTCATAAGTGTCAGAATGACAATAAGCTCTTTAAGGTCTATTACTCGCATCGTGTCGTTTTTACAGTGAAAACCCAGTTCTGCAGCGAGGTTTTTAAAATACTTCTTTTTGTGCTTGGCAAGGTAAGCCAAATTATATGAGAGGTCAGGGGGGAGGGAGGGAGAAAGTTGGAAGGTGAATTTGTTTGTTATTCGATTTTATTCACAAGAGCTAGTATTTCCTTTTAGACTTCATAATATACCTTTAAGAACAGTATGCTCCCATATTAGACAGCTAGGTATGAATGTAAACAATGTTATCGTACATTTATATACCACTATTAAACAGGATTTATAAATGTAAACAATAATACTCACACAAGTTTATCATTTCGAAAAGTCTGCTAAAAATATCATAAAATGCACGCATAAATTCAACTTGTATCAAGAAAATAACTCAATAAATGCCCTCAAAAATTGTTTACTAGTTACAAAAAATACAAAACCGAATAACGGTCTTACCATAAGCTCTTATATTTAAGCCTGAATTCTTCGAAATCTAATCTTACCAAAATCTTAGCTGATTAGCAATACCATTTAGTACACTTTTACTTTATTTAAATAGTCATTCGATTGTATTCATAATTATTTTCTTTCGCTTCAAGAAATATTTTCAAGACATGTTCATTTAAAGGAAAACAATAGTATTGATTAACGTATTATCTATCATCATTTCTCAAACTGTTCGTCCGATAAGAGAAATCAACAGCACAATGATTTTAGTGGCGTAGAATATAAAACATTTCCTCCGGCACAGCCGCACTCAAAGGCCATAAAAATAATAAAAGATTTGACGTAAACACATAATACTCATCGCCTTAGGCTAAACATTTCAGCGGGGGAAACATCTGCTGCCGTCTGCATAAGAGAATAAAAATTCTAATGAACAACGTCCGATGAATCTATTCAAACTTTAACATCAACACATTTTGTCTTCCGTGAACACTATTATTCACAAATTAATTTACTATGCGAACTAACATTTTAAACTAACCCATTCCCCTTCCACACGCAATAACGCTTTGGTTACAGACCGCTGTTGCTTTCGTTCATACTCTTGTAGTATCAATAATGCTGATTTCAGTAAGAATTACATTTGCCTTCCGAAGCAGCTTATAAAAATAATCAGTTAAAAAGAACTTTACCCTCAGCTTACACGTAATGCTACCCGAACTTATCTTTTCCGGTGAAATTTCGTGATGATTCGAGTCTAGCAGCCACGGTATGACAATTTTACTTCCAGCATTGGGTTCCAGATATTTGACCAGTAGTCCACACCTGAAACGAAACTGCAGCTGATCTCAGCCAACTAAAAGTTAAATTCGGGAGTAAGAGGCGTGTAAAGCCAAACAGAAATCTACCATTTGTGTTGCCGCCACTTTTGCGATTCAACTTTAGTTGGGCGCAATGGGATGTAGCTCGTTCCTCAATAGACACTACTGCCGGCTTCGCATTTAAAAGGATTTTATTAACAGGACCCACACAGGAACGGTTACAAACAAAAGAAATATACATACAAACATGAAACATATACCAAATGGCACCTCAAACATTGAGAATAACATAACATAGTAAGCTATCATCATGGCGGATGGAGGTTTCGACTGACGTTTTTCATATCGCCACGATAATGGCGTTTTTTAACTAAAAGAGTTTGGTTACAGTCATGAGTTCATGGCGTGAATAAAATAGTACATTACATTTAAATAGGTCTGTTACAATATTCTTTTAATTAGAAAGAAAAGTAAAGATAGATTTATATTTTAATAACCAATAATCAAAAGACAGTATTTCAGAAACCCATGCAGAAAACCCTCTTAGTTGAGGTAAGGTCAAATATTAAAAACCTGACTATACACTGATTTGATAATACAAAATAAAAAAAACTATAAATAAATAAATAATCCAAGAAAATGAAAAATATAGTTTCTGAGGATATTAAAATTCAAACATCCTTCAAAAAGATCCCATAGAATCAGAATTTGTAAAGCGAAATACATTTCTACTAATCGAATGATTTTAATGCATTGTTTGTTCGAAAATTTTTGCTTTGACTTCAGTCCGTAAAATAAAATGTTCTCTATCTCTTTTAATGTAATTGGTGTTACTCTATGTAACACCAATTACATTAAAAAGTTAGAGAAAATTTTATTTTACGAACCAGTTATGCTGTAGCTAATTTCTGTACCATTCAATCATGTATGTACCATTTGGTGATTCCTTTTCATAAACGTTTTTAAAAACCATCTACGAAAAAATTCTAGTAGTTAAGTTAGATGATAACAGTGGTCGTTCCACTTTGATCACCTAATTCAAAAAACAAATTGTGCGGCTCGGCGGATTTTATGTGTTGAAGCACCATTTTGCTGAAGCCATATAATGGACATTCAGGGAGGCATTAGCTTCTTAAGAGGTCAGGAAATTGTCTATTAAATATTTGAAATTTACTTCGTGCATATTTACCGCCAGTTAAAATGCCATTAGTACATGTATATAATTGCAAAACTGTTAGTAGCAAAATACGATCACAAAGACTCTCTGTTGACGTTATTAGTCTCGAAACATTTAGTTATCTTGACATTTCAGCATTCGTTCATCCTTTTCAGAAATGGCTGATATTTTTCCTTTTACAAATGACACATCAACGCTTTAAAAAGTGTTTCAACTGGGCAAAATCCGAAGTGAAACTCACATTTGCCTGACAACATGTACTTAAAGTATTTGCCAAATCTTGATATCATGGCATTACTTGTATTACAAAAAGATGAATTAGCTGCTCATACTTAGGTTTCTTTTTAATTCATTGCAAGAAAACCTAAATTACATTGATTAGTCACGATATAAAATATCGTTACTTTTATGTCTGTTAAGATAAACGTGGCTATCAATAAATATCTAGTTAAATTACAGAAACAATAAAATATACTTCTCATCGAGAGTGCAAATTTATTGTTAATAGTTTATAGCCTCAAGTTGAGAGGCTAGTTAAAAAAATGCTTTAAATTTGAGTTAGAATATCCAAACATTGGTTTTAAACGAAAATAAGTTTCTAAGCTTAAAATAATAAAAATAATTTATCTGTAAATGAAAATGGTACTTATTAACAACTTGAAGATTAAAACTCCTGTAATCAATAACAATAAGCGATTATCTCAAGTATTTTTGCACCTAAGGCTTTACTTAAAAAAGTTATACAATGAATGATATCAGAAGGAATGAATCTGATTAGGTTTTGTGAAAATATCAGATTTAGTAGTTGAGAGAGATATTTTCAAAACAATGACAATTGTTCACAAATTATGTCGTTTGAAACATTTAACGTAATAGCTTCAACAAGTATTCAGACATATAAATAACTAAAATATATCTGACCTGAAAAGGATTGAAAGCTGTTCATACAGTCTTAGTTAACTCCTACCTCAACTTAATATTCTTCAGTTGAAAATTACATAAGTGGGCATCAACCAATCAAGTAAGCTATCAATATCATATTTTTATACGTATTTTAAATAACAAGCATTTGGTAGATGTATATGTAAGGCTGGCAAATTTGTAATTCATAATTCTATTCACGAAGATTGATGTTTTGGTCCTGAAGATATTTCGGAGCTTTCTAAGATTTTTTAAAAGTCACTGAGTGTTAACTATTTTCAAAACCAAATTGTATCGATTACAATAATAAAAACATTTAACTTTTCACTGAATTTAATACATCAAATTGTCACTCTTTAGAGTGATCGAAAATAATTCTAATAATTAAAATCTCATGTATCTCATAAAACATTTGTATACATAATAAATTGTACTTTCTTTTAAACTTAAGTGCTGAAAGGTGTTTTAGAAAAAAATATTAAAACTAACATACTCCTACTATGCCTCAAAATTATACTTTAATACTGAAACTACAATAATTTAAGTTTTGCTGTTCTAAGCATTCAAAGGATATTAATAACATATCCTTAAATAACAAACACTCTTTCCTCAAACTTTCTGTCGTAAATCTGTGCAAAATTGTGTATCATAAATTAACAGCGAAAATTAATTTAGTAGTTAAAGTCTAATTCAACATCAGCTTACAGTGAACGGCCGAATCATTTATAGAAAAGTTAATCCATACATATTTCTTACAGGTATATAACTATTTATTACCAGCCTTAAAAATATTTATTCCGAATGTTAAATGGGATTCCTGCTAACTAAAACCATCTTTGTTCACATTCCTTACTAATAATTTAAGTGTTATTCTTTAGAAAGATGTAAGAAATGGTCTTATTAAAAACTTATAAAATGAAATCATTGGCGTTTTCCAAGAAAATAAAACGATGCTGAAGTTTTGCCCGGCGCATCGATCAATTCGCAATAATGGTACAAAGAACCGATCCAAACCGGAATATTCTCGTGGTAACCTTTTATTTAACGTTACTATTACGATTAACGTTTAACACGAAGCGGTACGTTTAACGATACGGACTAATACGTACGCCCCACTTTCACACAAGTCGCAGCGTTTTCTTATCAGAGGGGATTGTTTTCTTCTTTTCTTCGTTCATTCATACTGGCGTAATAATTACATAGAATTTTTAATCAGATATTCAGTGTAGTCCTACTAAGGGCTAATGGTCTAAGCATTTTCGGGAAGGAGAGTCATTAGATTCAATTACAACTTACAAAAAAAAAAACAAGCGCTTACCCGAACCGAAAATAGGAAAGGGTGAGTCAAGGGTAAATTTCCCTCATTCTAATGAGAATGCATTGCGAATCAAGCATTCAACGGTTTACATTAATTTTGAGTAAGCTATTCGTTATCGACTTGAAAAATATTTCTTGCAATTTAAAACTTGTGTTCCAAATTAATATTTCAACTTAAAATAAAATTAAGTAGGATTACTGCTGAGAGCATTAGATTTTTGTAGATTAGTTACGGATATAGATCGCTTGGGGGTCCGTGTATGAAAACCGCCGACTTTCGGAGGTTCAAGTGTTCAGTCAGCCATTAAAGCAAGTAAAGACCTTAAATTAATGTCGTTTTCCTACATTAAATTCACAAATTTTTTCTATTAATTTCTTTTTTATTGCCTTTTTTATAAAATTTTAAAAGTTAGCGATGATTAAAATGTTTGTGCCTTCTTTTTTAAAAGAATTCTTAGAACTAAAACATTTTTGAATATTTTTAATTGTAATACTGTATGTGGGTCAACTGTAGGTTGTCGCCAATAAAGAGTCTGCTTGCGAATTGTGCGCCGCGAAACGGGAATGTTACCATAAGCAGAAGAAGGCATATAGTCTAAAAACAAAAATAAACTAGAAACATATTTGTTCATTTTGTTTTTTTTTCCAGTTAGAATTCTATTTAGATGAATTATGGTACACCACAAAATGATAGGTCTATACCCGGACCTCTCGTGCTGGCCTAACGGTTGCAAATTCAGCTTGCATTTTTCATGTTTCGAAAGGCCGACTTAAGATATATACTAGATTTATACACAGCATCGTTCTAATATGATTGTTTTGGACACAAAGAACCAAACCAAAAAACCGAACTTTTTCTTTCTAGCAATGGCCATGCAAAATGTTTTTTTTACATCTGTCTCTCTGCTGTCTGGATTCTGGCGAGCAGAGTATGGCTTATAAAAATGCTAAATTTTTTACGGCACCTAGTATGGGTGTATCACCATGGTGCCTGGGTCATAGAGCCTACCTCTAATCGAAAATAAGCTGTTTCGAATTACAAAAACATAACTAACAGTGATATATCAATATGTTACAATATACATGACTAAATGTTTTAAATAACTATAGTTAATGAGGTTAAGGTAATTATTTATAACAAGCAAAACGTACAGGATTCGTTAAGCAAAGTGAAAATACCATCTGGATAAAGCTGAAGAAGCACGTCGAGCCATTGAGAACAACTATGACAAAAACACATAATTGCCAAACAAATACAAGGTAAATTCGAGACCTAGTGTCAAAAACTATAAGAATATGCATACAAAAATTTTGATAAATTTAGTAAAGGAACACACCAAAACAAACGATACAGTTCAAACAACACAAACAACATGCTATATAAATCAGATAGAAAACCATGGTAAACCTCAAAAAAACCTTAGTCACATAGCACGAGGATGTGGGACATGGCCTTTTGACATTACATGGGTCATAAGCATTAGAGAGTCATGTTTTCAAATTAAATAAAAAAACAAAATTTAACTAAGCAGGATTTGTGACAATTTTCAGACATTGGGTAAATTTTCTTACAATGATAGTCGGAACAGCAAAAGTTTCGAATTGGGGGGTCAATTCTCAGTCCGCATGTGTAACCGCTTGATTCCAAAACGCATTTAGTGGCGCGGCATTATTAAATTTTGTCTCAAAAAACCCCCTCAAACCACACCAACCCCCGTGGTTGAGGGGTTGTTTGCAATTTCTTTCTTCTGTAAACGTTTCTACTAAATATCATTTTGTAAACATTTTGGTGAAACCTTTATGGAAACTTCGTTGTGTTGGCCGCGCATTTCTTTCCATTTTGTTGTGCGAGAATATTATTTTTTAACCTTCGCGACATTTTTAATTTATTGTAAACCAATTTCCTTTCCTTCCCTTTCATGCTTATGACCGGAATAAACGGTTCATCAAATTATTCTCTCTCTCCAGGATATTCTTATATTATATTCTAATTTTTATTATAATAAAAAAAGTTTGTTTATTTTTTTAAGATAATTGTTTTCCTTTTTTAAGAATTTCATTAAATTGTTTGAGTTGAAAATGGTTGAAAGTATAGTTCTAAAACAAATAGATTATTTTAAAACTTTTTATTTCTTCATTTCGAACCTGTACTTTAAATTAATTTTATGAGAAAAATTTTTGAAGATTTTTTTAAAATTTCTCTGATTGCATTTCTTTTGGAAGAATACTTTGTGACCCAGACGACAATGCATCTGAAAACGTTGCGTAATTGAAAGAGAGATACAGGTAACAAAACACATTAATTTACGAATACGTCTTTCAATGAGCCGTTATGAAAATGTGTATAAATAAGAAATATGTGAAATATGTAAAACCGAAATTTTAAATTAGGCACGAGACTGCATCCAAACATAACATTGTTTTACACAAACCCCGTTTTAATCAGTGGTTATTTGCTTTAACATAATTTTTTTTTTTTAAATCATCCTACTTTTAGGGGAGTTCCTTAACATTAGTAATGTATTATTTTTGGTCAAGATCTTTTATATTTTTCAAATTAGAAAGAATCAAATAGCATAAGCTGGAAAAAATATTTTTATTTTAAATTTTAAAAAAAAATTACTAATTCCGTCCTGATTTGTTTTTTTTTTTCCTAATGGCAATTGGTGTTTTTTTCTTCCTCCAGGAATTCTGAAAATATATTAAAGCTCATCCCCTTTTTTTGTTCATTGTATACCAGAAGCATATTCGAAACATCTTGGTATCTCTGACATTCGTACAAGCAAATGTATAACCTTCAATTTAATCAGTATTTGATCAGAGTAAAACAAGCGACTTTTACCATGATACTGAAAGTATTTAGAAGTTAGGCATTTTGAAGGATAAATTCTTGAATCATCAACTAATTGAACTGAAACATCTTGAGATTATCCGTTTATGACATGCCATGCTCTATGATGTAATTTAAATATAAATGATGATCTTATGGTTCTCCATGGATATGTAATTTATCTCACACTGCCATCAGAGCAGAGAGTCAGTCGAAAAGCAAGTCTTCTTCTTTTCTTCAATGTCTGTCGTTCTTCTTGTCTTCTTCAACTTCACTTCACATTTGGGATGGTAAATTTTAACGTTAACAAACACAGCACACAAATAGGCCTATGTGCTGGTATATTTTGTTTGTTGGTTTTTGGGCCCGATTGCCAACTATGTTGAAACAGTTAGCATAAATGGTATAAAACACCCCTTTGGATTAATTTATGTTCGGACGGAACAACGCCACTAAACTTAGTTTCTTGAGTATATGTCAAATAGGTTTTTCTCTTTTCTTCCTTCTTTCCTTCCTCCTTTCTAAATTTGTTTCGTCGAACAGTTCTTTCTTCTCTGCTTCTCTCTTAATAAGCATTTTGTTTTTTAATATTGCCGATTACAAAGATATTAATATCTTCCATCTTAATTTCCATAATTTTTGCATTTTTGTTTTTTTTTTTTGGGGTCAATCTTTCTAAAAAGTTTAAAGCTGTTTATCCTTGCTGCACCTTCAAATACTGCTTTTAATTTTTTCTAGACATTGTAAAAAAACAGTAAGAAAAGTTAAAAGCAAAAACCCAAAGGACCCTGATATTTGAGTTAAAAATAAAAAAAAAAACATTTTCACTCAATTCACATCCACCCACATGGCAAAGAATAAAGTTTTTCTTCAATCAATGTTGGTCGCAGAAAACTCAGCGTTTATATTATTTATTTTTATTTTCTGCTCCACCAGTGATCCGACCATCCGATCCTATAATCGTGTTGTAAAACAATCGAAAATCAAATCAGCGTTCTCTCAAAACCTTTGAATACGCATCCATCTAGGACTAGACCCTATTTTCCTTCTTCTGTTTCTGCCCCAATCCTCTGCATCACATCTTTTCAAATGCTAACGGCGAAATATATGCTCTGCTTTCGAATGTGCCGATTCTAGTTCCTTTCCCTCCTGCAAAATATGGCTCAATAGGATAAAGATCTGCGGATCGGGTGGGTTGGTGCGTTAATTTACTTCGGACTTTCGGTTTCGGGGGGACACTCTTAAAAAGAATCCGAGGTCTAACATTTTGTGCAATGTGCTTTAGATCATTTTCCCCTGGTAATTTAACTATTTTGCCTATATATTTTTTGGTGCTGACATGCCAAATTTTGCTGAAGATGTCAAAGGGAACTTACAATTATACATTATTCATATACCATCTATAAACCTCCTATATTAGGCAATTAGCAGCAAACAGAAATGTCCATAATTGCATACCGTAACGACCATTCCTCTCCCTAACCCCTAAACTTAACCCCTTAACTTAACTAACCTCCTCCTCCGCCGTGTAACACTTGTTACTAAGTTCGCATTTTTTTCGTTCGCTTCCGAATTCTTTCTTGTTATTTTCCTTCCCCAGCAACCAGTCTTACTCTCTGACTCGTCATATCTGAGCCGAGAGATATTAAATAAAATAAATTCGCTTTCATCGCAAAACCAACATTTTTTTTTCTTCCAGAGTTGGGTGGCTTTTGTTCACAATCATTCCAAATCACATATCGTTTTTGACGCAAATCGAAATTTTCGGGTTTTTTTTTATAGGCATAAACTGTTGCAAATCTTGGTACTTACTTACACTACTTGTATCTTTTGGTACTTACGCGGCATGATATCCTGCGGATCGAGATTCCGTCAATTCTCTTCTTACAGTTTCTTCCTTTTCTTGGATTTACACATATTCCGCATGAATTCAAGAAGTTCCGCACAGTTAGAACACTCGCTCTGGATTCTTTTTAACATTCTTTTAGAATAACGGTTTCATATTCCATAACTTAGGATGGTCTTTCTTCCAAGTCTTCTTTGGTCTTGAAATAATACGATTCTGTGCTCTTATAAAAAAGCTTAGTAATATCAAAAACTGTAAAACAATTACTTAAAAAATCTTAAATTAAGTACAAGGAACTTGTTAAATAGACTTTTTTTTTATTTGATTTTTTTATTTATTTGATAGACATCACTCACTAAAAACTAAACGTCGGGTTCTAATGCAGTTTCCTTTCGGCGTTTCCGTCGGTTCGTGACCAACCATTGCAAAGAAAACATTCAAAAATGATACTAATCTTTTCTAAAAAGAAATTCGAATTACAAAGCAAACAACGATTTTTCGATTTTTGCCTAGAATCTTTACGTTAACGTTATTCTTTACAAACGTACGCAAACGTAAATTCCATAAAATTTCGTTTTTTATTATGCAGGCGATTTTTAAATTAGATATTATGAAAGGCCCAATTAGTTTTGTGGTATCTTTTTTCATTTCAGCCTAAACGTTATTTTTTAAATTTACTATTTTTTTTTTTTTTTCAAATTCGTTCAGTACAAAACTTCAAAAATTAAAACATTACAGTAGGGAGAGGCAACATTTTTTGTGAGCATTAATAGTAATTCGAAAGTTTTCTGTGGAAACATTATTTAAAATGCAAGTTAAAAAATAAATTAGAAAAATATGTTAATTTGACTTGGATAGAACCTAAATTTCGAACTGGGGAAGAAGTAATCAAGTAACGTTATTATCAATCAAGTAAGTTAATGTCATTTCAAGAAAAAGGAAAAGAAGTTTCAGTTTTCAGAAGAAAGAGAAAAAAGAAAAGAAGAAAATAATAAGAAAGGGGAAGAATTCAAAAATACGTATTGTTGAGGCATGCTGTATATATATTTGATATATATCCTAAAGTCGCATTTTCGTGACATGAAAAACACAAGTTTCCCAGTAAGAAACACAAATCAAACCAACAACAAATCGCGGCGGATCGGCGCCCTAAAACCGGGAGAAAGAACTATTTTCTGAGTAGGTGTCCCAAAGCGTTCATTATCTATATGATCTGGTAATTCTCAAGAAGAAACCTTTTCACATGGCGGTAACGATTTTAAAATTATATTAAACGAGAATCTTCGATTTTGTTCCCGTTTTCAAGAGTTTGCCATTCCACTAGGACTGAAGTATCTTTTTACCTACTCCCTTACTATAATATTTTCCAATTAACATTGAGCGTTACTGAAAAATATGAGAGACTGAATATTAGTTAAAAATGTCTTTAATAACTTTTCTCTCTATTTTGATCTTAATAATATATACAGTTGGCGTAATTCATAAAATATCTAATTTTCAAAGCATTTAAATAGTAATTTTTACATATATTATTCCCTTCATTTTAATTAATTAAAGGGGTTTCTGTTTCTTTATATTCTGTGCCTCGGTAACAGATAATCCTTTTCGTGTCCCTTAAGTTTATAATATTTTATTACTTTAAAATACCTATCTCAATTTCTACATTTTGTATAATTAATGTAGTGAAACCCTAGATATACTTATTTATAAATTAGACATGTAATCAAAAAAGAAAATCCTTTTTAAATTCCAAAGTTCGATTTTTTTTTCCGCCACTCAGATTTTAAGCAGGTAAAACACTTTCATAGAAGAAAGTATTTTTTCCAAATTTCTAAGTAAGAAACAAACTACAAATTATAACGCTTTTTTTTTAAGATATTCATGTAAGAGGATTAGATGTTGAACAGCAAGGAAATGCACAGTAGTCTTTTATGGTTGTATTTTTTGTTGGCTAAAGCCAGAATAAATTTTGGCAGAGCTGGACGTGAACTATAGGACTATAGGACGTGAACTGCAAGCAAGGCTGTCAAAACCTCGAACTGTAAAACGCTACAATCGTCTGCTTAAACACTTTACAGCTAATTTGCGTTCTGGTAAGAACTACCGAAAGCAGTTATAGTAAAGTTCCAAATCATAATTGTTAGTTAATTAACTTAAAACTCTACACCATTTCGTTTAATTTTTCTTTCAATAAATAACGTTTTATTGTTTTTACTTTAGATTGAACTCATCGAAGTATTGATTAGGTTAAATTTTTTCACAAGAATGTATCCATGTAAAGTTAGAATTTAACCCTGAACTCCAAATTTCAAGCCCATATGTGCATATTTCCAATATCAGAATGAAAATAATTCAGCAACGTAAAAGCCTGCAGTGATAACTTGTAGCGTCTTCTTGTGTGTTTTGGGAATATAACACTATAGACCCTACTGAAAAGGCGAAGTAGCGAATTCTCGCTAGGTCTTGGAAGAACAGATGACGCAAACGAAGGTTATAAACAACCTTTTATTTTAATTAAACGGAACAGAATATGCACTCGCTCACAGTTTCTCTCACAATTCTCACAGTTTAACTGCCACCTGTGGCTAAGTAACTTGAACGGAAAATAGTATGTACTAGAATGACAATAATTTAAAGTTAGCTACAAGACTGGCTCCTATTTTATCTAAACCGCTTAATTGGCTGCACACGGCAAAGGTGAGCCTAGAATATCAATGTAATCTAAAGTAAGTGGCTGGCACCAACTATTCAACTACAAAGCTACTTTCAGACACGTGGCCATAAATTCAGAACTAACTCTCCTACACGTCGAACACTTAAATACAGGTTTCGAACTCAGTTAGATTTGCATATGCGGCATTAAATTCGCATTCTGGCAGGAAATTAAAATCAGAAGAGAAAGGAAAGTTCCTTAAAATAATTGATTAGAACAAAATAAGGTCTTTACAAACTAAGATATCTATTGGTTAAATGTTTTTAATGATAGAAATTTCATATGCATAAAATTGATTTGATTTTTGTTTCATAGCTTACTATTTTTGTGTATATATATTTTAATATTCGTTTAAATTGTTACGCATTTTTTCTGCAAACTACAAGCACCAAGTAAAAATATTCTCTAATTTTAAAACGCATCGACAGATAAAATTTTTTACGTCCTTAGTCAAAAATCTTAGAATATTTAAAATTAAAAACTACTCTGTTGTTGTAAAATTATGCAGAAAAGAAAAATTATGAATAAGTATTTATTATCTCTTATGCTAGTATCTCAAATGTTTCGTATAACAAAACAAATGAAAAACATGCATTAATAGTCAATGCTCCATTTCTTCTGTCCTGTATAAGAATAAACTTAAATATGTAATTTGTGAAAGTTTATTCTTCAGTATGTAACTGTATATACGTGATACATTTCATCAATTTCATAATAGTCTGTAAAGTGAATAGTAATTCCTGCTATTATCTTCAGAACACAGTCCAGTCAAATCTCTCTGGAACTTAACCATCGCAAGCAAGACATTGACTGTAAATAATACTGTGAAGATTAACTGCAATATGAAGCAAAGTGCTACGTTTTTTGTTTTACTAATCGGGCTGTTTCTGTGCCAGGTAAGATAATCTGTAAGGTATTGTTGCGTTTTTTCTTGGGAAGGAAAATGCTCATTCAAACAAAAATCATTTCTCTCGAGCGATATTTATTTTTTTTTTTTTTTAAATTTATGTTAAATTCTGCTTTCGAAATAAAATATGTTTTCTTTATTAAAAGAGGATTTTAATAACTCTGATGTAAATTCTTCCTAAATGTTTAGCTTTTTTGTTTCTGCTTACGCAACGAAGCCTGGAAAATCTTTCGCAAAGAACCATTGAAAAATTCAAGAAAGGAGCTTAAATCGATAGTATCACAAAACACATATATTTGACGTACTAAACATAATGAATCCTGAAGAACTTTCGAATTCTTTATAATTACTTGTCAAATTGGCAATACAAGTAAATGCAATTTTATTTAAATCAATCAGATTAAGAAGTAAAAATGATATTTTTAAGAACTGCGTTTATCACTTTCTAATCAATTAATATGCAATCTCTTACAGTCAGATTCAGTTTGAAATTTAAATAACTAATCCTTTTCCCAATGGCAACACACCGACGGAGGTAGATGGAATTATTTTTTTCTTTATCAAAAACGCATTAAATATGCGCAGAATATGAAATAAATAAAAAAATATTGGGCCAAATTTAAGTTAAGCGCGATCACGAAGAATTTGTTAGTTCGGAAGAGGACAAAATTTTGTAGCCGTTTTTTTTCAACACACGATGAGCAAACATACATAAATTCCAATTTTGCATTATTTAATAGTGCAGAGAAATTCATAAATTGCAGAGAAAGGTGATGTAAATAATGCGTTTCAGAAATTAACCCTAGATTTTGAGATATTTGTCTTCGCTAAATAAAACAGCTTAATTATACAATGATTCAGAAGTCAAACAAAACTGGCGTGTTATTGTGTTCTTAATTCTAACACTGATGTTTGAATATGTAATCTCTATTTAAAAATAATATGTAATTTAAATCAATTGTTTTGCTACTAAGAATTTTTAAACAGTTTCAAATAATTCCGACCTGGCGATTGTCTTTTGTTTCGTCGTCGCAATTAAACTAAGAATAATATTAGCTCTAGCTTCGTAAATAAAATCTGAATTAGCATTGTCGCTCAAGCCATCAATATGATGTTCCATTTCTTCAAATTACGCTGATACTTTAATTAATATACTCATATCTATTTATATCATTTCAGTAACATCAGTTGCTATCGTTAGAAAAATAAATTCGTGAATGTTAAAACCTGCTTGTCTAGAAAAGAAAACAATGGCTATCCTTACCTTGAATATGTAAGGATAGCCATTGTTTTCTTTTCTATTTAACATTGGTCATTGATAACGATTTTAAAACATTGTAATGAAATAGACAATTTAAATTGCTTGTGTAATTGAATTCTGAAATAATTTAGAAGTTGTGAATTCGAAAGTTCGCAATGCTGCGCTCCTTAAAAAAGAAGTAAGTTTACCTATGGAATGTATATTTTTCTTTGTCCTCTTGCCTAATCGTTTTTATTTTCTGTCAGTCTTTGTCTTTCTTCGCAAGCCCGTCTGACCCTGATATACAAATAAGCAATAGCTTCTCTAAGAAATGATAGCATTCCTCAAGACGTTTCTTGATAGTGTAAGTCGACAGCACTCATGGGTTATACCATGGAAAACCAGTGTTTCCCAAAATCCCGCGACGGCACAGTAAATTTTTCTCACTTCTTGCACAGAAAAATCTAATAGTCTGTACAATCTATCGGCTTTGATTAAATAACACTGCATATTCCTTGAAACATCGTAAGGCTAATGAGAAAACAGCTTTGTTCCATAAACATCGGGAATATCTTTAAGTGATGTAAATGCTTAATGAGTAGTACTGTAAATGTTATATAAGGTATTTCTACCGCCTTCCTAGCGTGCCTTCGTAGTGTAGTGTTCTGCTTGCGCACCTGGCCGTTAGTCCAGAGGTCCGTGGCTCAATTCCCGGCAAAGCGGTGCTATTTTTCATCTTGCCTGCTTCCAAAAATACCTAAAAATTGCACATGTAAATGCAAATGTGATGTAGGGTTTTCACGTCAGGTCATGTGTTCCGTCAGATTACGAGTGTGAAGGAAATCATTTATAATCCTTTAATCCTGTCCGTTCGCCATGGGGTGCCTAACAACTCCTTACCACCACAGAATTACATTTGTCTGACAGACTAAGAATTGTTGTCTAAAGCGTCGTATGTCTAATAATGAGGTAACTTGCAGCATAAACCCAGTACCCCTAGGTTCTATTTCTAACATAGAGTTTTATGCTAGGATAGAGCTATTTCTACCCAATATCTCTTCCTTCAGCATTACTGTTACTATTTAAAATTGCCCAGCTACATTTTCAGTTCCCTGTCAAAGCATGTGTATTATTGTATGTTAACTCAAGGAAAAAAATTATCTTAGATGCAGCTGAAAAAGAATTCAAGAAATAGAATGATTTCTCTAAAGAATGCGATGTACCTCACACTTTACCAACTTAAAGGAGATTAAAACTAAAACCAGAACTACTAGAACTAATAATAAGTTAAAACAATAAGGAAGCAAATAAGGACGTGCTACGTATCTTAAGTTGAAGACAGCATGCCAAGGTGCTGAACAAACTATTGAACGTGATTGAACATTACACATTTAACCGCTTACCTAGTTATCTCGAGTTAACTCGGTCACCGAGATTCTCCGAAAATAATCATGTCGTGAAAGTGAAAATTAACAATTTTAAAGCAGTTTCATAAAAATATCTGCGGCAAAAATGCATCAGTAGATATCTAAGAGCCAAACAAATTATGAGAGTTATGAGAGTTATGAGAGTATAAGTTATTATGAGAGTTATGAATTATGAGAATACGCTCGTTTTATGCCAAGCCTCTTCCTATTCGGTGCTAATTTCGTGATTCAGACAATTATTCCCCATTTATTTTGTGTTATAATAATATTTAAAAATATAAAAATTTTGGAAAAATATTTGTAGAATTTTTTTTGTCTTGGTCCGCCAATTAAAAGAACATAGTAAAAAAATGGATAATTTTTACACGAAAACTAAAAAATAAAGTGTTAGTTAAGGGGTAAAGAGGTCTAGTTATAAGGCATTTTCTCCTTCTTTATCCGAAGTAACTGGAAACCTTATAAGGCAACGAAGTATAGGGTGCGAAGCGTTCAAGTAGGATATGAAAGCACCCATAAGTCAGTAACTGGAATGTATTACTACCTCTTATGATTAATAGTTAAATGTATGTCATTTACTATATGTAATCATTTTCCCTTGCTGGATTGCGTTTTGAATATGATGCCCCCTCTCACACCATTCACCGCGGCGGCGTTGAAGCTTGCCATAACTCGCGTAACGTATTCCTGGAGACTTGCCGACGTCAGTTCGATGCGATCCTTCAACTCAGTGATGGTGGCACACGTGTTCGGAAAACTTGCTTCAGGTGCCCCAAAGTCGGCCCCTGAAATCAGGTAGGGCAAGGCGGCCAGGAAATGTCACCAAAACAGTAAATCCTCTACCTGGAAATGTCTGTCGCAATGGTCCCATCATCTGGAACTTTCCCTAACGTCCAAGTTTGAAATGTTTGCCGACATAGACGCTGAGTTGCAATTACAGCGTAGTTATCTTGAAAATAACTTCAGCCGCAACGGCAAGAGGCTGTGCACTCCCCAACGATCTAGCATGTCACACACTCGAAATGGCACTATTATACACGAATGCGGCACGAGCTGGCGCGCATTCATGCAGTACGTCATTGTGCTACGCAAATCAAGTTACGCTATGAAAGCTGCCGCACCCTGTACATCTGGCTACCAATCGGGAGGGACGGAATTTAAATCTCGTAGACGCATTGTTCATTTTTACGCTTTCTGCTCTAAAATACGGATTTGACTAGCAGGGATTTGACTAACACCGACTCTAAAAGGGAGCCCGAATTAAAATATGGTGGACCATAATTCATCCCAACTAGGATTTCGCTTTTGGGGTCCTCGTTTTCCCAAGCTTGTATCATATATCCATTTATTTCAGGCGAACAAATTATTCAAATCATATTTCTACGTGCTTGAACACTACAGGAAAAGACCACGTTTTTTTTTTCGCAAAAAATTAAGTTATTCGTTTTCATACCAAGCAGATACAGCATTGAAATCGCTCCCACTCATCAATAGCATTGTGTTAATAAGACCTAACTTTTTCCATTTAGATCGAAATCGTATCAATCCCAATGATTGGGCGGTTTCAATATCGTGTGACAAGCAGACAAAATGTTCTAAAGAGTTGTTCCTCCGAAATGTTTTGAATGGGTAATACGACCTTAAATGAGGAAAAAATGCAAGGTATTTTTTCCTTCCTTACAGAGTGTTTTCATGTTGAAACTGGAAGCACTCGAGACCTGGAGTTCGAATTTCGGTGACGTCACTGCACATTGTTCACGTTTTTTCTTGCTTCGATAAATCTAATGATTCTACACAGTGATACGTTTCACAGGTAAAGTGTTTGCAAAGAAAGTGAAAATTAACAATTTTAAAGCAGTTTCATAAATATATCTGCGGCAAAAATGCATCAGTAGATATCTAAGAGCCAAACAAATTCTTAAATGAGTTGTCCAATCTTGTTGCATAAATGTTTGCGTGTCGACTAAAAAGTGCTTTTAATGTATGCCAATCAAAATACTCTGAATTTATAGATGAAGTATGGTCCCGAAACATCAAAGGAGATATACTATTTTGATAGGAAAATAAGTGTGATTCTGAGAATTTACAGGTAAAATATTCAACAGTTAGTAAAAATGCTCTGTTATTCACTGGTATTTGCACTGCCCAGCATAACATCAATAAGCTGAAGTTTAAGCATATTTCTTCCAATATGACTTCTCCAACGCAATTAATGAACTCAGGATGCCACTCAGAACTTATATGTTTCTCTCCTCAACAACTAGTTCTTAAAATATTAAATAGTGCAGTTGCAAATCCGTAAATGAAAAGTGATATTGTAAAAGAAATGTCATAAAATTTGACACAGAATATTTTTTGAGCAGAAATATTTTTTAAATTTAAACAAATATAAACTGTGAAATTTATGTCGATATCGAAAGCAAACCATGTGATTGGTGTCGTTTGTAGTATTTTTTACTTAATACTGATAAATACACATTTTCTTCATGAGCAACTTGAAATTGAGTTTGAAACTATACTGCTGGACTGGCTCTGCTGGCCATTAAAATTGCAACACCAGGAAGGAATGGTCTGGCTAACGTTAAAATCACGTAAAAGGAAGAAGAAGTTGGGATATGATATGCAAATGACTGGTATTTCAGCGCATTTAGACTACACAAGAGGAAGAAACAACATCTGAAGCATAGCATAAACGAAACGTTGTGTAGTGGATTTCTCATTTTTACTAAATTTCATGTTTCACTACAATTTTCCAAGTTATAGTTTCTAGCCCATAATCCACATCAAAATAAAATACAATTTATTTAAAATAGTGAGTTTAAACTTATTCAGTTTTAAACTTGGTTACTTTAAACTTAATTATCATTTTAAACAATTTTAAACTTGCTTTTTTTCATTTCTTAAATTAAAAATTAAGATTTAAAAAATTGTTAACTATTGCGTCATAAAATGTTTTGTTTCTACGTTTAGTATAAAACTTAGTATAAAATAAAAAATTCTAAGTAAATAGTGAAAATATCAGCTTGATTCCTTATGAAGAAGTAGTTTTTTTCTAAAGATGTTTGCTTATTTTAGGTTGTATTAAGTAAAAGCTGTGATAAGAATTCAGGCTGTACCTCAACACAATGCTGCCTGATGAGAGATGGAGCAACCAGATGTAGACCATTGGCAAGGAAGGGTACAATTTTATATGTATTGTTTCTCAATTTAAGTTCAAGAACGTTTATTCAAAAATGTGATTTGAATGTCTCCATTAAAATAAAAATTATAAGTTTAAATTGAGATTTTTATTATTTGATTTTTAATGGTTAAGAAAATAAAATGGTTAAGCTAAAAGGTTTTACTATAGCCAAGAGAAAGGAAAGCATATTTTATGCTTTCCATGATTTATGTGCATACAAGGGAGATTTCGGCACTTTAAGTAGTACAAGCAATTTAGCGTGACACTGATTCAGCTATATTTTGTATATATTGTTCAATTCTAAATAGGAATTACGTCTAGTAGATAAAATTTTGGGTTTATAAATTAAATGAAAGTATTTTATAAGGTGAAGAAAGTGCAACCGAAAAAGTCTACGTCATTTTAAATACCGAAATAATCTCATATATATTACAGTAAAAACTGGAAGCCATAAATTTCATCTTCAATCATCTCCAATCATCAATCTGTCCACACGTTTTAACACGCGCATACACAAATAAGACATGCCAATGCCAATGATTATAAGTTACGGAGTGCCTATGCTTCAAGATCACTTACGTAACCGTAGTTATACCATGGACCTTATAAGAAATAGACTAACCCAAATGGGTTTTCTCCCTCGTCTGAGGCGTTCCCGGCTATCACCTGAATCACATCCAAAGGAAGTAGGGAGACTTGCAGAAATTTACATGGTTGCCTATTGCAGAGGTATATTGGTCAAGAAAAAGCTGTTGAGCGCCTATTTCACAAATTAGAATTTCTCCATATTTTTATTCTTGAACTGAGTTGATTTTTAAAAATTAGCATATTATCAAGAATCAAATTAAAGTTCAATAATTATAACGCTATTGCATTGCTTTTAGTGCGAATATTATATTTTTTTAGCTTTTCCATCTGCTGTAGGAAATGGAAAATTGGGATACTACTTTTAGAAAATAATATTTTAACTTCTGAACTAATAGAAACTTTCAAACAAACACATTTTCTCGTTGCAGTTTTTCCGCTTTATTGGTTTGTAAATAAGAAAAAAAATACTTAAATATTTTAAAAACGAATTTTGAAAGTTTGTTAAAATTCTAACATTGTGCTGCTTGTTTTTTTAAATTTATAGATGAATTTATAGAAATTCCTATAAAGGATTTTATTCAATTATATTTCATAATACATAATTAGGATAAACACTTTGACGCCTTAAGAATGTTTATACATTTATTCTAATATTAAATTTATTTAACGTAATAATTAATTTTGGCTTTATTTTATAGTGATTTTTTTAAATTTATTTTAGTTATAAATAAGATTTTTGATTTACTGTTAATTTAAGTTATTAACTCAAAGGGGCGGTAGCCTTAGAAAGGGCTGTTAATTTTGAAGCGGCATTTTGCGTGTTTTATATAAATGTCCGTGTCACCTTGCAAATTGTTGTACAAAATATTATCGACGTGAATAAATATTAAAGAAATTAAATTAATGGCATGATTAATGTTATGTTCTCGCACTGTGACGCAAAACGACAGTATTAAGACATCAAATTTTGAATAATGTATCCTCCACCCGAACATGGTCATCTGGAGGATGAATTTCGAAATTGTTTTAATCTATTTCATATTTGTTAAAACATTAAAAGATTTTTGAATTAACAAACTCAACGAGTTAAGAGAAGGAGAGCACTGTACGCAAAATAATAGTTTTATCTCCAGTGAGGAAAGTCTCAAGATTTAAGATATCTTGTTTTCAAATGTAGGTGGTTTACGGGCAAAGGAACATGATATTCAGTCAATATCAGGTGGTGTACACACAAAACATAAAATAAAAGGTTCCTTTTGGGGAATATAAAATCTGAGTGCTTCTAGATTATTTTACCTTTTTCCACCATTCATTACACTCACTTTGTTCCCCCGTCATTCAGAAAATTTTATGCGCCGAATTAGACTTACTAAAACAAATATTCCACTTTAACGTTAATAGTTATGATGCATATTAATCAAAATAAATGATTGTTTTTGTATGTTATTATAGTTGTGAAAAAATCATTGCCTGAAAAGGTCATGAAATTAAAAAAATATTATCAGATCTGTTAAAATTTACCTTATTAATTCAAAGCATCACGTACTATCAATCTTATTTAATTTTACGTTATTTGTACGCAAATTGAGTTCAAAATTTGTTGCATAGAGTTTTAACCGTTTTACCAAAGGTAAGATGTTTGACGAAAATGCTAGGTAAAAGTAAAAAGTGTTTTAATGAGAATATTAAATCCTATGAAAAAAAAACTGTGGCTTTCATAATATCATACTATACAACATATCACATTCAGTAATTAAAAAGAGTTCTGTGATACAAACGCCATATGCTTTCAGTGTTAAGTAAACCAGATCGTCCCTATTCTTTCTTGCCGACATGTCGGTGACGCGCGCCCCGCCCACTGAGTTAGTCTATCTCTTATAAGATCCATAAGTTATACGTGCCAGTATTTCTCAAAAAAGCGTTTGGCGAAACTGGTATTAATGATAAATCGCTTTGAGGAAGACCAAATATTCTTATGATTGAAAACTGCTAGAATTTGATCACAATCCGACTCAGACATTAAAACTTTGATTTTTAGTTTTTAACTATAATTAGATTAATGTATAGAAAAATTTGATGAGATTTGAAAGCACCTAATAGTTTCATACATTTTTGTAGAAATATAAAATGTGAGAAAATGCAGTGTAACTGAAAAAAGTACTAAATTGATATTGCTCAACCATGAAGAAAAAAAATATAAATCCTGAGAAATTTTATTGCTTACTTACAAATAAGAATTTTATTTTAACATTTGATTGTAATAGAGTATTCTGACTTCATACAATATTCTAATATTTTCCTGTAATGACACTATGGTAAAATATGCTCCAAAATGTTGTGATGAAAAATTATTAGTCTGACGCAGTGGTCTTCAAACTAGGGTTCCCGTAAAAGGTTTTTGGGATCACAAGGTTGCTGAAAAACTGCACGACAGGGTCCACATATATTACAAAATACGTATTTCTGAAAATTTGAGGTCACAATATAGCCCGAGCTCATAAATTGGAGTCGCTATGCAAAAACGTTTGGGAGCCCCTGGCCAAACACATGCACTACCCGACATTGAAAATGCAACACCAAGAAGGAGTGGCCAGAAAGTGTTGAAACTCGACAAACAGAGAGAGACAGCAACGAACAATAAAAGTGATCTTTATTTCGAAACCATATGCATAATACAAATTCCAATCTCGTCCCAAATGTGTTCGATAAATATAGAACGGTGGCTAGGAAAGCATCTGTACACCTTGCAGAGCACGTTGGCTGATGCGGGCAGTGTATGATCGGGCGTATCCTGTAAAAGAGCAACTAGGCACTCCTGAAGGTGAGGGGAGTGTCACCGCTTGAGCACATCATACAGTAGCGTTGGGGCCGTCATAGTACCCTAATTAACGAACAAGAGATGACCTGGAATTGCGCCTCAAACCATGATGCCGCGTTGTCGCGCGGTGGGACGTTCCAAATTTGCTGCCGGATTGGGGATTGGACTTGCCTCCACATCGACGCCACACTCGTACGCGGCGACTATCGTTGGAGAAGCAGAAGCGTGACTCATCTGAGAACACGACCCTGTGCTAGTCCATCTTCTACATCGCTCGAGACCGGCACCATTGCAGACGGTGTCGTCCATGATGTGGGGTCAATGGCAGTCTTCCTAACGGATGCCACGAGTGCAGGCCACTAGCCACCAATCGTCGGCAAATAGTTCTGGCGATATGCGAACATCCAGGGTGTCTTGAACAGGCTGCAGAATGCAGGCAGAAGTGGCTGCAGAATGCAGGCAGAGAGTGCCACCGCTTACCAACAGACGCGTCCATCCATGCGTGCTGACGTCACTCTGGCTGCTTCTGCACCCCTCAAACTTGCCACATTTTCTGTTTCAACCATCGTCGCCACAGCCGGTGCACTGTGGACGCGTCCAGGTGTATGTCAGCTGCTATTTGCAAATTGGACCAACCTTCCCTTTTCAGTTCACTATGCCCTTTGTTAAATCATCTGTCTGCTGGAACTGCCTCCGTTGACGACGGCCTGGCATTCTGCTATTACATGCGTCCTCTGAGAAAAGAACAAATTTTCTATGATTATTTCCATAGCAGAAAATTAACGGCACAAAATTGACATTTGTAGAGCTTCCCTATATTTACAAAGTGTGCTGGAAGATTTCTACAACTATGACTAATCTATATAAATAATCTATAGTTATGTTTCTGAATTTTTTACTTGCTCCTGATAAGACAAAAAGCAACATTCTAAACCATATTTTCAAATTTTAATATGCTGTGATATTGTTAATATTTGTTATAAATGTTTAGAATACAGTAGGATTGAAATTCCAAAGTAAATAAACTTTCATCACACTTTTAAGGAAGTGAATGCTCTTCAGATGAAAAGACACCGGATGCAATTCATAGCTCCAGCTGCCCCTGCCGTGGGAACATGATTTGTCTGGATGAAGGAGGAAGGGTAAGACTAACATATTCATTTGTAATTCAGATATTTTATTAAACTCTACCAAATGCTCTGCTATAGAAAAGTGACATTTTGTCTTTAAAAGTATTTTGCTTTTATTTAAATCCAAGTCATGACATCAAACATATCACATATTGGGAAAAATATACAGTTATGATCTAGCTAATGAAACACGATGAACATTATATAATGTTATTTCTCCCTCCTTTCAGCATGCTTTCGTGGTGTAGCTGGAAGCATACTCGAACGTATTCGAGAAGTCCGTAATTCGAGTCCAGGCGAAAATATCTCACGTATTCACATTCCAGGATCAAAATAATCTAACGACTCTACAAGAGACACCCGAACTAAAAGACGGTAGAAGTTAATTCGTCCCCTTTAGGATATGATAACTAGGTCCCCTAATTTCCAGTTGCTCTTTAAAAAAGGAGGAATATATAAGTTATTTTTTCCCTCCTTTCCACATGCCTTCGTGGTGAAATTTGAACTATGCTCGACACTTTTTCAAGAGGTCCGGAGTTCGCGTCCTGGCAAGGGCTTTGCATATTTTTCACGTTGTAGGAACAAAATATCATTATGGTTATTGTGATATTTAATAATGATTGCACAATTATACTAATAAAACTTTTTTCTGCAAGGGATATATGAAATGTTAGATTCTTTTTATTTACACTGCGATCAAACTTCAGCACTGAAATTCTTTTTATTGGATATGTATATTTAAGATAAATAATTAAGGAAGTAAAGTTTGTAACCACCTTCTCTAAACACAAACAGGCACACACACCATATATATATGTATTCGTTTAGCAGTGGTTATTTCGTAAATAAAAACAATACAGCATTAACACAGAAAATTGAAACTGATACTTTAAATTTAAATAGGGATATTTCGTTTAGCGAATATAATCTTAGTGGTGTTAGCAACGGGTAATAAAAAAATTGTTTAAGCCAGTGGTTTTAAACTACAAGTGCATATCAGCCAAATAACCCATCTGAAAATATCTAACAACCCAGAAATGCTTTTTTTAACTAAAATGAAAATTTTTATAAGCAAAATAAAAAATATTTCAACTAAACTTTAAATTTTGCTAAAGTACCCGTCACTTATTAAAATCAAGTCCATTTCTAAACCTGTTCTAGTTTATTAAGCGAATAAGTTTAATAGATAAAGATTTCTGTTTTGTAAATCGTGGTATCACTTTAAAATTTTTCGAGTAAGAATAATAACTAACAACTAATTCAGTAATTACTCGTAAAATAAGAATAAAAAATGTATGATAAAATTAAACTATTTAAGCAATTTTGAAACTCATTTTTAAATTTTTTATAAAAATATTTTTGCAATTACATTATTGACGAAGTTTCACTTCTTACAAACAACTATTCTATCTGTATTTGTTTCATAATGTTCAACAATAATTTTTTAATTATATTCTCAATTTCGTAAAACTGCAAGTAGTTTCTTGATTCACCTTTCAATTCTTTCTTAGAATTTCTTAGAAAGTTTCTTTCTTAGAATGAAATAAACTCAATTGATGTTGGAATGTCATCACATGTTCTGTATCACATTATTTGTTGGTTTCTGCAATTCTCTTAACACGTTCATAGTTTTTATACAGGTTATTTTAATATTATTCTGAAAATAAATCTTCATAATTTTCCTCATTGATTTCTGAACTATTAGCTAAGTTTGAAATCTTCTGAGACTTCTTCTACATAAAAGCAAAATTTTCAAAAAACCTTTTTAACTGATTTTAAAAGATTAACAGCCTGCCGAGAATCTGTAATAAGCATAGAATTTGACTGTAACATGGCCCCTACTAGATATACCGAATTACATATTTCCTTTGTCGTGCTGGCGGATTCAGAATCCAGGCGAACGGACTAGCTGTATGGTCGCTTTCGTGGTTTTCCCTACTTGAAACATGTACACGAACCCTTTCCTTTAGAAATTTCTCCTTGAAAGCATCCTTCCCCTTACGTACGAAGCCCTCGAGTACTTTGCCATGACTGAATAAACCAAACCTCCGAAGCGCTTTCATTTTCTTAGAAAAATTAAATTCTTTTCATTATTTCCTGAACATCTTTTCTGTAATGATATTTGAAAGCTTGGCATAAAAACCCTGGTCTAAGAGCTGAATGTTACAAAATGTATTTGCAGGAAGAGACACTAATGTTTTTCCGAAAGAGATCAGGGATCAGTACTTTACAGTTATCTATGTTGAATTTATGAAATTTGATGGCATCATCGATAAATGTGAATAGTACTCATTAAACATAACTAGAGTCAATCAGGTCATATGCAATACATATTGAACAAGGTGTCATGTTTATACACAATATATCATTTAAGATATAGAGGCAACATAGTAAACATTTGACAGATAAACCTATTATGTAATTTGTATTGTGTAGTAACAATGTAAACGCAGTTTAAGTAGACCAGTGTATAAATAGTAAAAATTAAAACAAACAGATAAAGTAAAATATCTAAAGTTTATTTAGAATGTTCAATTCATTGAATTTAAATTACAGTAATATTTTACAACATATGGTATCTTGACTAAGTTTTAGAACAGAAGAAACAATGTCAAAAACATACCTTTCAACATAATTTATAATTCATCTAAATGGGGCCCCCACAAATTACTTGTTTAATTGATTTTCAAAATTGTTAATAATTGAAACATTGTTAATAATTGAAATCTCTGTTAGCTCTTTATTAATTAGTAATTCCTTTTTAAGTTAATTACATAATGCTGTTTGTAAAATTCACGAGTTAAATATTCTGTGGATGAAGTTACAAAAAGAACTTCAAAATCTTTTAACAATTTATTCTTTTCTTTCAAGCTTAATTCTTTTTGTTTGGCATTTTCGACATGTTACAATTTAAATGCACAACAAATTTATAAAACAAAATTCTTCTTTCAGTGGCTTATTTAAGTTTCAAAATTTATAGTTTCTAGTTCTTATCTGTTTGGTTGATCAACCTCTTTGTGTTTATAAGTATGACCAATACTTTCTTTTTCTTTCTTCATCCTACAGTTACCGCTTTCTTTCGATTTAAAGACTGCTAATAGGTGGTAATACTAAAAAGCTTTAAATGTTTTTCAACTTCTTGTAACATAATGTGTCTGTCTCAATAGAAACATTATGAATGTGAAAACCTTAAAAGATGAAATGCACTTCCGCCTGCTATCAGCTGGTATTCATAAAGGAACGCTTACTCATTTACAATGTCTCTAAATAAATGTTTATTTTAAACTCTTAAGACAAGGAAATTCTTCGCCTCCAAAGATCAATGCGTACAAATAATTTTAAAAACAGTGCCTCACAGGCACAGGGACCAGGACATGAAATTTTTTTTCAAGCCCGTTTTTATTGGAGAATTACATACCTGAAAACAAGGCTACCTTAAATTGACGTTAAATTAACGTTAAAATAAATACATTTAATTGACGAACTAGAAGAACTATGAAAAGTTTTGAATCATAGAGGTAAGATATTCTGGCACTGAAGAATCAGTCTTTTGCCAGTCTGAGTTTTAAACGCTGCAGAGATGGGAGTGTAAGAAACGGTTGTTGACAAGGAACGCGAATGAGCGAAAGTTTCTCTTCTGCCAGTGGCAACGCGGGTCGAAAACAACTGGAGAGAGCGGTCGCCTTCACTGGATTTTCTCTTCCGATAGAATTTATACGAAGGGGGGTAATCCCCCATCTTTTGATTTTAAAGTATCTCGAATTTGTATATATTGAATATAAAAGATTGGCGTAAATAAGTCATTAAGACTTAATTGAAAGTAGGATTTGAATCGAATAGAAAACCAAACCCGAAAACCTCTCCCAAATAGACCTATGAGATTTTAGAGAAAGACAAACAGGGATATTCTATGATTAAAAAATGAATTTATTTTTTTCTTCTTGGAAATTTGAATGCAACAAGCTGCTGATTTTATTAACCAGTGAGTATATTAAGCCGCCTTTTTTATTTATCAAAATATATACAGATAATAATAATAATAATAATAATAATAACGCAAAAGAAAAAATATTCGAATTTATATTTTCCGCCTGAAATCTTAATTTTAATAACTTTAAGACATTTTTTGTTGGTTACATTTTATGATTCAAACATGTTGATGGCTAAATATTATTTTTTTAGACTGACGTTTATTTTAAATTATACTAATCTGTTTAATTAATCTTCAATGATTTGCTTTAAATTTACTAAAACGAATTATTAAAGCTTTTTATATTTTCTGTGAAAATTCTAGTATCTTTCTCCTATTTATAAAACTTTCCTTCGACACATAAGTAAAAATGTCTATGTTTGTATGTAAATAATTATAAAATTTTTGATTCCTTAATAGTGCTTGAAACTTAACGACGTTTAGATTCTTGTAAAATCTGTAACTTTGAAGAAAAATTACTAGAAATTACCTTCGTTTCGGATTATAGATGCTCATTGGTTAATCGGTTTCAGTTCGTATTCGTTTTCAATCCTGAAATAAAGCTGTTCACTTATAAATGAAATCCCAAACAAAGCGATTATTCTTAGTGTAAAAATTCATCACTAAGCGCATTTACTTTTTGACTTTTTGTAAGATAAAATTAATCAAATCTGTATCTTCAAGGTCTCTGAAAAAGTTTTAGTCACTGTGTAAATTAATTAGCTCCATTTATAGATTTTCTGGTACGTTATCAAATAATGTAAACTCGAACTTCTAATACCTAAAACCTTTAAAATCGCAATAACAACCTTATATTTAGCGAACATATGTTAAAACACTCAATCAACTTCGAGGGCAATTAAAGGTCCCTCCTCATCAGGAGAAAGAAATTACTAGAAAGGGAGGGGAAGGAGGAGGAAAAAAAGAAGAAAGAAGAAAAATAAGCATTGGCAAAGGGTATCAGAAACACGTGGATCGTTATTCAGAAACACACGTGGTCGTAAACCGGATTTTGAATCAGATTACACTGGCCCCGCCTTGC